GCAGCTTTGTTTCATTGAAGCTTGTCCTCATGTCTGAAGAATAAAATAATGTCTGAAGAATAAAAGTAGCACACTTCAGAAAATATTTAAAAACCCCACAAATTTAAAAAAAAGAAAAATTAGCATACATTTTCTATGTTCAGTATTTATATTTACATAATTTTATAATTATGCCATTACTTACATAATCTATACTAATAAAAGGGTAATATGCTAATTATACCTGGAGACCAGACATCTTACTACCTTCCTTCCAGATAAAACCACAGTGGTGGGGGCCGAGGCAGAGGTGGTTAGGGGCAATCAGGCCGGCAGGGGAGGGCAGTTGGGGGCCATGAGGCCGGCAGGGGAGGGCAGTTGGGGGCCATGAGGCTGGCAGGGGAGGGCAGTTGGGGGCCATGAGGCCGGCAGGGGAGGGCAGTTGGGGGCCATGAGGCCGGCAGGGGAGGGCAGTTGGGGGCCATGAGGCTGGCAGGGGAGGGCAGTTGGGGGCCATGAGGCTGGCAGGGGAGGGCAGTTGGGGGACATCAGGCCAGCAGGGGAGTGGTTAGGAGTCAGCAGTCCTGGATTGCGAGAGGGATGTCTGACTGCCAGTCTAGGCCTAAACCGGCTGTGGGACATCCCCTGAGGGATCCCGGATTGGAGAGGGACTCCCCCCTCCCTGCATGAATTTCGTGCACCGGGCCTCAAGTTATATATAAGTATATTTACATAAGAACTGGACAGATACTCTCTTCCTCTGCCAACCCAAGTACAGTTTATGCCCATCAGAAATTGTCATTGTAGTGCTTTGTAGTTCACTATTGTAAAATATTTAGGCCTCATTTCACTTAAATATCTCACCATCTCAAATAAAGCCATTCTTTTTTGTTTGTTTGTGTCCATGGACTATGCATATATGTTCTTTGGTTAATCCCTTGTCCCCGTAAAAGTCATTCTTTTTTCTGACTGTTCATCTACCGAACTGAAGTTGAGCTAAAATTGTAATCAAGTAGAGTAAGAACAATTTTTTAAATAAAAATTTTTTAAAATTAATTTATTTTTGTGAATCCTCACCAGAAGATATTTTTTCTATTGATTTCTTTAGAGAGGGTAGAAGGAGTGAGGAGGAAGAGGAGGAGGAGGAGAGAGAAAACACATTGATGTGAGAGAGAGAGACATCGATTGGTTGCCTCCTACACTCACTCTGACTGGGGCTGAAGATTGAACCTGCAACCCAGGTAAGTGCCCTTGATCAGGAATTGAACCCATGACCCTCTGGTGCACAGGCCAGTGCTTCAACCACTTAGCAATCCAGGCTAGGCCAAACATTTTAAAATTTAAAAGTGTAATAATTAGCATCTATTTGTATGGATTATATTCATTTATATAAACTGCTGAGTAAATACTATTTTAGGGTATGTAAGATAATTCTCAACATATATGTTTGGGATGCTGTTATTTAGTCTCATGAGTGGCAGAACTGCAGTTTAACTGTTTGAAAGATGTTTCCAGCTCTTGTCTACCCTCTCCCCTTCAGTGGGGAGTGCCTCCAGGCAGGCCCCGGGAAAAATCTGAGTATGACTCAGTTCCTGGAGAAAGCTTCAGAGTATTCAAAGGCAAGCTCTTGCCTCTCGCTGTCTAGGTTTTAGACCATTTTCCCCTTTGCACCAACGTGTTGTGACAGCCGTGTTGACTGGGTTCATGCTGTCATCGGTGTATTCACAGAGCTAGTGCACAGATTTCCAAAATTATTTTTTTCTTTTCCTTGATTATATGTCATACTTACTAGCAAGTTATCTGTCTAAACATTGGGTGTAACTTAAACGCTAAATATTTTGCATACCTGCTCCCACAAAGGGGTAGGATTCTGCAGTAAATCAGTCAAAGAAAGCCTCACTGTTTGGTGCTAGTAGGTACCGGTTATTTCTTGAAAGAGCCTCTCTTGAAGACACACCCAAAGGAACTGGATTTTCTAGGCAAGGTCATGTTTTGAAATACATTCATGGACTTTTTAATTGCCTTCTGTTTGTGGCAATATTTTCCTCTTCCCAGTTTGTTCTAGTTGAAGGTTAGATTCTGTGGGGCGTGACGTGTCTGAACTCGGAATAAGCCAGGATCTCTGCCAGTGCGACCAGTTTGTGTTCATAGTTCCGCAGAGGGAAGCCAATTTCAAAACAGAAATCCAACTGGGGCCCGGCCATCCTGGCTCAGTGGTTGAGTGTCGACCTATGAACCATGAGGTCACAGTTCAATGCCCAGGTTGTGGGCTCCATCCTCAGTGTGGGGCATGCAGGAGGCAGCCGATCAATGATTCTCATCATTGATGTTTTTATCTTTCTCCCTCTCCCTTCCTTTCTGAAATCAATAAAAATATTTTAAAAAAAGAAATCCAACCGGGGACAGGCCGATTGCTGGTGAAACTTCTGAGAGATGTCAGATGGGAAGCTGGATCTAAGGAGAGATGGTTGAGGGCCCGAGACTGTAATGTGGTTGTCTACGGGGCCGCTGCTGGCATCCTGTGGGCAGAGGCCAGGGCTGCCGCTGTCCTTCCTACATTGGGCAGGACAGCCCCTCCTCCCAGCAAAGAACTGTTCAGCCCCGGATGCCAGTGCTGCTGCCACTGAGAAACAGGCCTAAGAGAGAGGCCAGGGCCCGAGCTCAGGAATGCCACCTTGTAGGTGCTTTGATGAGGAAGGGCCAGAAAACAGCACCCTTGAGCCTTCCCTGTTGAGGTAGGGGGCGTGGCCAGAATGATGAAGAAAGCAGAGGGTAGTACACTCAGCAGGCATGCTCCCCAAGATGGAAGTCGGTGTTCCCTAAGAGTGGGAGAGAACTCTCTGGAGGCCACATGGCAAGGGGGGTGGGGAGGACCAAAGAAGTTTGTACTCCCATCCTCAAGCCTGAGCCATCTGGTGTCAGCCTTTCTGAGTGAGAGAGCCCCCAGGGAGCCAGGTGTCAGGGCAGCTGGAGGCAGCCTGAGTGTGAGACTAGGAGGAGGTGTGTGAATGAGTGGCAGCTCTTGGAGCAAATGACAGAGACCCAGGGGAGGCGGGTGGGGAGGGGAAGGGCGGGATGTTGGATCAAGTTGTGAGATGAGCAGAGCAGTCTGGGAAGGAATTTGGATCATGGTAGATGGTCCTGGGAGGTTTGGGGAAAATATTTTTTCTGGCAAAAATTGAGATAAGAGAAAGATCTGTTGAGCTTAGCTCTTACAGTTCCTGTTGGTGGGCCAGGCTGCACCTGAGGCTTTCCATAGTGGGCAGTTGGGAGGCCTGGGGGTTCGGCATGCTGCTTGCCAGTCCCGGCACTGGGATGTTGGGTCGGGCTTGGTTTTGTTCCCAGTACAATTGCACCATTGATTGAACAATTTCCTTTCTCCATTCATTTGCTTTGGCATCTTTATTCAAAATGACTTGACCACATATGAGTCTATTTCCAAACTATCTGTTCTGTTCAGTGACCTCTTTGTCAAGGCTTATGACATACCATACTATCTTGGGTATTGTAGCTTTGTATTGAAATCAGAGTCCTCCGTGTGTGTTCTGCAAGGTTTTACAATAACCACCTGTGTTTCAGAATCACTTTGTCAGTTTCTCCAAAAAGTCCTGTTCACTATTTCTTCTTTCGTCTCCAATCTGTTAGTGGGCCCACCAAAGTTTTTTTTTTTTTTTTTTTTCCAGTTTGTGAATTATACCTTTTAGTTCTAAAATTTCCACCGGGTTCTTCTTTTTATTGTTTTAATTTATTTTCTGAGATTCCCTATCTCTAGTACCATCCAATAGTTGTTTTTTACATTTTGTTATTAGAGTTTATTAATATACTGTCTATAGGATGAGTTTGATACTCTGCTATTACTGGAACCAGAACCTCACCTATTGACATTTTTATTTTCCGGTAGTTTAGTTGTTATTTCTATAGAAGTTCTTTTGTTTCTTTTATAGTTTTGCTTCCCTCTCCCTTTTTCCTTTTCTTCCTCCTTGTCTCCCTCTCCCTCTTCCTTCTTTCTCCCTGCACATATTTTAAGCTTATCTTATTTTTTTAATTTATTTTTTAATATATTTTATTGATTTTGTACAGAGAGGAAGGGAGAGAGAGAGAGCTAGAAACATCGATGAGAGAGAGTCATGGATCAGCTGCCTCTTGCACACCCTCCACTGGGGATATGCCCACAACCAAGGCACATGCCCTTGACCGGAATCGAACCTGGGACCCTTCAGTCCCCAAGCCGATGCTCTATCCATTGAGCCAAACCGCCAAACCGGTTTCGGCAAACTTATTTCTTAAGACATAGTTTATTTATCATCTGTATCTGATCATTCCAGTATCTAAAGCCCTTCCATTTCTGTGTCTGCTCTTTGCTGCCTTCTACTTCCATATGTGTTCAGTTATGGTTGACTAAAAGCTGTTAATTTTCCCTGTAATTTTACATGTACCCCTTCTTCGGGGTCTGGTGTGAAGGCGAGCCCCTCCCAGAAAGGAGTCACGTGCTTCTGTTAGATGCCTGAGGCCATCACCAGTGTGTTTAATTAAGTAAATTCTGGATACGTGTTTATTTTTTAGAAACCGGAGAATGAATGTGAGCTGTAAACCATCATGATAACGAGTTCTCAGTGGTGACCAGTTCTTCTTCTTGGCCCTTCTATTTAAGACAGGAGGTTTCCTAGCGTTTCTCTTGAGGGGTTCTGTTTGGTTTGTCTTCACCTTGGGGTCTCGGCTTTTGCGGGGACGAATGTGAACATTGTATTAGATTCTTTGCCTTGTCTGGGCCCGGGCTTCACCTGCTGGTCCCCATCGGAGTCAGTCCATCTGCTTTAGTGTACGGCCTCAAGCACGAAAGCTCTCTGCAGTCACTTCCTTCCCTCTCCGGGTACTTGCCTGCACCCAGCCTTTTGGTCTGAGAATTACGTACACTTCTCTCATGGGTACATTGAAAATACTTGGCTGTCTTGACTACAGTGGAAGGGAAATCTGCTAGATGAAAAAGTTTATTTTTCTTATTCTGACTGTATAATTTTTTCCCTTTATGATTTGGCGGGTAAGAGTATTGTTACAGACTTTGAACTGGAAGAAGGCCTGGTATAGAGAGTATGGAGAAAAGAAAGGAGAGGTATTTTAAGAGCTGGCAAAAGCAGAGCATACCTGTGTGAAAGGATCGAGATAGGGTTGGCATCGATTAATGAAAAACCATTTTGTGCCTTCTCATCCGGAGCCTGGGGTCCTCTTCTCAGCTCCCATGGCTGTGGCAGAATTAAATTCCTTGTGGTTGTAGGACTGAGGTCCTAAACCCGCTGGCTGTTCACTTGGGGTCATTCTCAGCTCCGAGAGACCTCCCACATTCCTTGTGGAGCAGCCGTTCCAACTTCACAGCCAGGAATAGAGTCTCCTTGTGTAAAATCCTTCTCACCCTGTAGCAGTCTGAGTCTAATAAGGAGATAAAAACCACACAGTAGGTTAGGCAGAGGAAGGGTAACAACATTATTATAAGCTCTGACAGAAGAGTGTAAGATATAAGGAAACTCAATATGGTTCTCCGGCTGAGGGAGACCCAAGGAAAGACAGACTTGGAAAGGATTCGGACCTCATTGTAGAAGGTGTGGCCAGGCTGGAGTTTCTGGGTAAACAGGATGCCACCTTCTGATACAGGCGAGAGCAGGTGGCCAGGGCCTGGGTGTGGAGCCATGTTCCTGTGCCAGTGCAGCTGGCCTCCAGAGACTACGGGCCATGCAGGGACTCTGGTGTTGGGGTCAGAGTGCTGCCAGGAGCTTATTTCCAGGCTGAGACTACCAGACCAAAGAGCAACCATGACTGGGCCCGAGCCTGCTGTCCCAGATGTCCTCGTACCCACCCCGCAGACTCCCTGTCCCCGCCTGCAATTTCCCTCCAGCTCCCTCTACCGAGACAGCTTATCACTGTGCGCTTTAAGGAGAGAAAAAGAGGTCAGTTGTTTGAGTGCACACTACAGGAGATGTTCCGAGCTCATCACTCGTAAGTGACACACACGCTCCACCGCCTTCGTCAGGGAGAGCCTGTCCCTTTTAGGAACGCTCCCAAGTAGGTCACGTCCACCCAGGACGACTTCCCTTTCCTCAGGCAGCTGTCTGTCGGAGACTGATCACAGGAGTGGCCATCGTCCTGTTCACGGCCTCGGGATTAGACAGGGCGTGCATGCCAGGGGTTGGGTATCTTGGGGGACATCCAGGAATTCCGCCTGCCACAGAGGGGAGGGGCGGAGAAGAGGCGGAGACGAGGATGACTCAGCGCTGCGTGAGGGACTCCTCAGTGCGGTGCACGGGTTGTATTTCATTCCGGGCCTCAATGCATCGCTGTCTCACGGGAAAGAGGAGGAGTGACTAGTATTTGTTAAATGTCTGTTTGTCAACCACTCCGCAGAGCATTTCATATACTCTCATTTCATATTCTCTCATTATTTCTTAACATCTGGAGGCAGGGATTATCATCTTCATTTTACAAAAGAGGGAACTGAGGCTTGGGGTTGTAAGGCCACTTGCCTGGAGACAGTCTGCTAATATTCATGACTAGTGACCCAGTGCACAGATTTGTGCACATTGAAAGGAAATTAATTAGAAGGGGCAGGTGGGGTAGGACTGGGTGAGATGGGCCAGACACGCCCTGGAGCCAACCTCTCATGGTCCCTCGTCTCTCCTGGTGCCAGTGGAGTGTAGGGGTCCCTCTGGCAGGTGGGGTCCCTTGGCTTGCCTGGCCTGCAGGGATCTGGCTGAAACCGGCTCTCTGAGACTCACCGAGGGTCCCTGAGTACAAGAGGGCACTCTGCAAAGTTGCTGTTGTACAGAGTGTGGAACGCAAACGCAATAGGGCAGTAAACTAGATTCAGGGCCAACAGTGCCCCAGCAACATGATGCATGGTCCTGTGAGGAATCAGGCTCCCTCCTTCCTGGTTTTGGGGTGCGTCACCCGAGAACCACCGCTGCCAAGTCACTGCAGCTCAGCAACTCCTGCGTTGAGTGTTAGCCCCCTGGTGGTCAGTGCAAGTCATAGCGACTGGTCAGACAGTCAGACACTTAGCATATTAGCCTTTCATATATGTAGATAGATAGCTGGGATTAAAACGCAGCCCTGCCCAGTACTGAATCCATATTTTCTAATAGCATCCAATAATACGTGCCTTTGAACGGGTTTGTGTCAGTGGATTGGGATGGGGGCAGATAATAGATGATCTCGGTGGAGATAGTGCAAGTCGCTCTTCTGTGTCTCTGCTGTCTCTTAAGGTCACTTGTGTCATCACCCTGGCAGGAGGGACAGTGGATCAGAAGAGGAGTCCTTGCCAACAGGGAAGCTAGGCATTTATCCGCTTGATCTGTGCGTCACCAGGAAGTAGCCATGCCTCTCTGTTCCCTGTTCTCATATCTGAATGTGAAACAAAAGAACAAAGCCAGACCTGAGAGAGTTGGGAGTAGCCCTATGTGTGGGGGAGGACGCGCAGTCTGGCTGGAGAATCCTAATCATCCAGAGCCGAGCTCATGGCCAGGGGCCTGGGAGTGTGTGGAATGAACCCTCCCAGAGCACAGCCCGCTGCTCCGGCTTCTCTCACCAGCTGGGCCCCCCGCAGGGCTTGGTCCCTCTGCTCATTCCTCTTTGCAGCCCCAGAGCGGACCTGGAGCCTGGCATTGGTAACGATTGTGGGATAAACCGGGACCTTTGTGTCAGCTGGTACCGTGGGACTCTAGGGCATAGTGTCCTGTCTTTGGAATAAAGAGCATGGACTTGACTTCGGGCCCATGCCAGCTCTGCAGACTGATGTCATTGCACCATTGCTGCCCCGGGCATTTGAATAATCTCAGAGGGTTGGTTAGGAGGCTGGACTTGGGTTATGGGGACATGTGGAACAGCTTGGCAGATTTGAAGGGTACATTTTGTTCTCTCTTCCTGGACACATGAAATAATAGGATCATTGGAATATGACCTCTTCCTCCACCCACTTCCATCAATTCAGACTGGGTTTCCCCCTCCCAGTTCTCCGCCGTGTTTGTGGGAGTTCCAAGTCGGGTCGGAGTCGGAAGGGCAGGCACAGAGCTCAGCTGGCCAGAGGGGCACAGTTCCCCCATGAAATTCCAGAGGAAAGGCCTGGGCCGTTCCCCGGGGAACTTTTGGAACTGTGGTTTGTTGGGGTTTTTAAGTGAGATGTTTCACTTGAATCAAAACATTAAAAGTAGTATGGAAAATTAAATTCAAAAAAGTTTCTCGCCGAAACCGGTTTGGCTCAGTGGTAGAGCATCGGTCTGCGGACTGAAGGGTCCCAGGTTCGATTCCGGTCAAAGGCATGTACCTTGGTTGCGGACATATCCCCAGTAGGGGGTGTGCAGGAGGCAGCTCATCGACGTTTCTAGCTCTCTATCTCTCTCCCTTCCTCCTCTCTGTAAAATATCGATAAAATATATTTAAAAAAAAAAAAAGTTTCTCAATGTGACCTGAGCAAGCAAAGTAGATTTTGTTCTCGCTTCCAGGTATTTCTTCCTCACCTCAGGAACCGAAGGCCTGTCCTGGACTTAATCAATAATCAGCAGATGGCTTCTTTGTTTCCTTATCCCCCGGTCAGTTTAGATTTTGCTGAATGGATGCCTTCGAAGTGCCAGTGCTTCAGGTAGCTTTTGTGGTGGGAACGTTCGTCCGACTGGTTTCCGGTGCAGGAGCTCCCACCTCATTAGTACCGTGAGCACAGGCCAGTCACTTAGCCTCTGCCTGCCTCAGTTTCCCTAACTGCATTCCGGGAGGCTTGAAGGAAAGGTCCCGGTGAAGCAGAGCGTCCATAATGTCACAGGCTCTCTGGTCATTACAGTGTGCAGCCAGGAGGGAGGACCCTGCACAGCGTCACAGGAAGCGCTGGGAGCCGGTGTGGCATTCAGTACTCGGTGTTTTTGGTGAAGAAGGGGGGCAGGCTAGTTTAGGGTCTAACATGCTTTTTATTCAGGTGTCCGAGCATTGGCCAGTTACTTCTGTCTCTGACGGGAGGCCGGGCGGCTGCTTTACAGCCAGCGTCTCTGCTTCTGGGTTGGGGAAGTCCAGGGCCTGTGGAATTTTCCATGACTGAGCTCTGCCCGGTGAGTGAGTGCTCGCTGCAGTCACAGAGCGTTCCAGTGTGTCTGCCTGTGCTGCCCTCCCCTCCTCTGTTCCAGTGTCAGAGCTGTTACACCCCGACTACACGGTATTCTGTTTGTGTTTAATACTCTGGTTCTCAGGACGGATCAGAGGATCTCATCTGAATTAGCTTTTTGTTTATGAAGTGAGTCAGCCTGCGGTATCTGCTCCAGCCCCATCTTCTCAGGTGTCGTGTTACCTGTCACAAACCACCTTTTGTGGGGCGGGCGGGGCGGGCAGGTGCACTGTTCTGTAGGCGCAAGCTTCTATGTGGGGCTGGGCATAGGTGAGCAGAATCGGCCTGTGGGTCCTTAGATGGGAAGAATTCTGAACATGACAGTAAAAGGAAGAACAGAGACCCAGCCAGACAATGGCCTGGTTGGCTAGGCCAGCTCCCCTCTTATAGGGGGAGTCAAGGTCCTAACACTTCTTTGCTTTGGTTCCGGCTCCGTGGTTCTCCTATGGCACTGGGTGTGTGAATAGTTCCACCAGACAGAGGACCACTGTGGGCAGTGCGAGAAAGCGTTAGAGACGCTGTGTGCTGCTGTTCACGGCCTACCCGGGCTCTGTAACACCCACTGTACTTCCCACGGAAGCGGGCCTGATCCAGAGCCGCTCCTTGTCACTGACAGCTGTTAAGCCAGCCGCTCGGTTCCGCTCTCCTGGGGCTCAGCCTCGTGGCGATGGTGGTTAGAGGAGGGGCACTCGGGGTACAGCCTGAGTGGGAGATGGTGGGCCGAAATTTAACCCGGCTCTCCCGGCACAAATGGGTGTGGCGTCTGGGCTGCAGGTCTTAGCATCTGTAGAATGGATAAGGAACACTCGTTCCTCCTGAGTTTAAAGTTAGGTAAAAACTCTGAGGGGACAGCGGGGGTGGGCTGGAGGGAGCTGATGGGGGTGGGGGGAAGGAGGACTATGTAATATTTTCAAGAATAAAGAATAAAAACAACACTCTGAGGTAAAGTCGTGTGAATTCAGGAAATCTTAGACACTTAGACTAGGAATCGAGAAACTGAGAAAAGACAGCTGTCCTGTGAGGAAGCCTCCCTGCTTAAGGCAGGTGTGTTCTGTGATTCAGCTTGTGGTAAGCTGTCAGCCTGGCTCCCTCATTCAGCACGGTGGGTTATGAACTTGTATTGAAGGTTGGTCTGAACAGAGCCGACTTAGGTTTGATAAACCCATCCCGATTGAAAATGGTCCTGTTCCCGCATGATTTCACCACTTTCGTTGTCATTTCCCCCTCCCCATTATCCTTTCAGTTGGCTGATTGCAATTCTGGCCCAGCTCAACCCTCTCTTCGGACCGCAGCTGAAAAATGAAACCATCTGGTATCTCAAGTATCACTGGCCTTGAGGAGGAAGACCCGCGCCCAGCCATCGAGGTGACTATGCCCTTGACCTTCCTCATCAGTGTTGTCAGTCACCCTGCTAGAGTTTGCCTTGACTTTTCCTCAGAGTTCTGTGGCCACTTTACCACTTGGCAAGGGCTGGCACTGAGAGCAAGCATGATCTCACGAAGAGACGTAAATTTGGGGCGTAGGCCATGTGCTTTACCAAAGGGTTTATCCCCAGATTCTCTTAAATTCTGCTGTGACCCTGCGATTGAAACCCAGTGAGATGGACAGGATCGACTTGGCGTGCCGGCTGTTAGACACGGTTCCGGAAAGCGACCACTGGTAGTTGCTGTTACGAGACCCAGCAGCTTCAAGAAGTGGCCGGCAGATTTGACATTGGCATTGCTGAGTGCTCTGGGTAGAGAGACGGGTGCTTTTTGAAAATGGGTCTTCACACTGCAGCTTTTATTCGGTTCTGAGTATTGGAGGTCAGGAGCGGTAGCGCGGAAAGATTGAAACACCAGCTGAGAGGCAGGCAGCTGCTGTGTAGTTTGTTCCTGTCTCCATCGTTTTGATAAAGGGGAGTTAGCGCTCAGTGTTTGGGTTCTGGCGCGGCTCTGGGGCAAGGGCGCCTCTTTGGTGGCACTGTGCCTGCAGGAGACATGGTGTCTGGCTCCTGGCTTCAGTGATGCCGAGGGCGTTCAGGTAACGGCAGCCTGGGCCTCCCATTGTGAGGTCCTCTGTCGGCCTTCCACCAGTGACGTCATCCATCAATGAGTGTGGTCTGAATTGAGTGTTACCGGAGAAATTGCACAATGGTGAGTTTCTGGTTCTACATTTGATTCGATGACTCTAAAAGAGCTTCCTCTCATCAATGAGGATTATTGAGTAACCTTGAATTACAGATAATACAGGAAAAGCAGGATACATATTTAATTTAAATTTTTAAAAATTTCAGACTACAAGTTGTTGGTGTTCAAGTTTCTTCGAGTGTACCCAGTGAGGTTTCTCTTTCCCCCTTTTTAATTGTAATCACTTACATTTATTATCTTTTTTATGTTCACCTAGAGGCCCGATGCATGAAATTCGTGCAAGGGGCTCCGCCCTTGCAGCCCCGGCTTCGTCCAGAAGTTCGTTCGGCTGTTCGGTCTAATTAGCATATGAGCCCTTTTATTATTATAGAGTGTTCTTTCTTTGGCCTGTGGGAGCCTGTCTAAATGGGCTTCTCTATCCTTTTATACTACTCTTGTTCGTCTCCTTACTTTCTGGCAACATCAAGATGTCCCAGACCCTTCTGGTGTGTGTCCTGGCCCAGGCTTCCAACCAACTGCTCCTCCAGTTGCTTTCTGAATTTCCCACAGAAAGGATCCTGGCTCACTGGTCAGTCCTCCAGCCCCGCTGGCCCTGGTTCCTTTCAGTGGCGATGGTATTCACAAGTCAGGATCTGATTGCTAGTGCGCCTGTTTCTGCCAGCGTGCTGTTGCTTCTAAGTCTTTACAATGGGCAGAGCCAGAGGTGTGTACTTTTAAGAAGAAAAAGGATCACCAGTTCATGTTAGCATTTCAAATTTGACATTACAAGTTTTTGACTTCTTTGGTTTTATACTTGAGTATCATTCATATATACTATAAATCTTAGCTCCTAAAGACAGTAACTTAATTATTTACTTTCCTTATCCTACAGTACATATAAAATAGTTTCAAACACCATTATAACTACCAACTATAACTTTATTGAGTACAGTTTAGGATATCTTTTCTGCTTTATTTGTCCTTAGAACAAATAAAGAACAGAATGCTGTATTCTGAAATCCTTGAAATAATTATTTTTTCTGGGGGTTATCAATTTGATAGGTAGTTAGATTAAGTTTCATTTTGTGTTTAATTCATGGTAATTTTTTTGTTTGCTGCTATTTTGAATATTTCCAAAGTCAATATTTGGAAAACATATTTCCAAATTCAAAATTATAAGCAAGATATATTTAGAGAAGTCTGTCCTTTGGGTGTTTCATTTTGCTTCGGATAAGCAAATACATACGTGTGTGTGTTTGTGTGTGTATGTGTGTATGTATGTTTTATCTCCCCCCCCCCCACAGCTATTATGGAAAACATATCTGTGCTATTCTGTAGCTTGCTTTTTCCCTAACACTGAACTAGAGCTTGCTCCTATCAGTGTATAGAGATCTTCCTCAAGTCTTTTCATAGCCGTTGATGTCCTGGGCCTTTCTAGTCTTTTGCTATTGTTAATAAAGCCACAATAATATCCTGTGCATATGACATTGTATTTTTTTCAATCATCACCCAAGCACATGTTCATTGATTGTTTTTTTTCTTTTTGAGAGAGAGGGAGGAGAAAAGGAGAGAGAGAAAAAAATAAAACACATTGATGTGAGAGAGAAACATCAATAGGTTGCCTCCCATACACACCTAACCGGGGGTCGAAACTGCAGCCTAGGTCCTGACTGGGAATTGAACCCACACCTTGCAATGTATGGGACCGTGTCCCAATCAGCTGAGCCACCCTGGCCAGTGAGACAGCATATGCTTTTGCTAGTGATCTTTGAGTTAGATTCCCTGAAAATGAAATCTCTGGGTTAAAGGTAAAAATACTTTTTTTAGATATTACACACTCCCTTCTCCAGGAATTGTGCTGTTTTACATTCCCACCAACAGTATAGCCTGTTCCTAAGCTGGATTTGTGCCAATCTGATAGGTAAATAGTCATTTTTTCCCCTCTTTTGATTTCCCTCTTACATGGATTTTATGGTGACTGTTAGGTAAGGAGCCGATGGGGCTTTCAAGCTGAGAACTTCCAGCACTGCCTGCTAGAAGTGACCTCTCCGCGCCTCACCTCCTTCCCTTAGGATCGTGCTGTCTGGCCCTGGATACGCTGGTGTGTGGCTCTGCAGGTTTCATTGGCCGTCCTTTCCTTCTCCTGTGTGTGTGTGTGTCCTAACTGATGAATTCCTAACGTTTGCACTCTGGTCCACAGCACCAACTGGGGCTGCTGCTTGAAACCCTTATATTGAGAGGTGGTTCCTTTAAAAGCAAAGTGCCAGGAAGCAGAAGGGCACAGCCAGGCGAACCCTATACATCCATTCCACGTTTGTGGTGTGATTATGGCAGCACCAGGACTCTAGGCCTCTGGCGGGACCACATCAAGAGATCTGATGTGTGTGTGGCATTGGAGCAAGCAGAACTCTTAAGTCGTAAACTCAAAAGATTGAGCTCATTTTGGACTTGGAACTTTTATG